CCATTCCTTTTTTTTTTTTTTTAATTAAAGGTTACTCGGGGCCCATGTCATTTGCCCACAAAGTGTGTCAAACGACTAATAATGCGAGCACCAGAGGTCTAGTATTAGAAAAAAGCAGGCGAGTCTTGCACCCTTCCCCCAAGCCAAGGCTAGGGACAAGCCCCAATAAACAGCAAAGAAAACAAAATGCCGACACTGCCGTCGGTGAAATAGCATAACGCAGGGTGTCACCTTTCTCACCGAATTTGGCCGTTTTTGCAGTCTGATACATGCAGAACAAGCCAGAGTTCAAAGTAATAGTAAAGCAGCATTTGCCAGGCAGTCACTCCGTGGCAAGGGCAATATTCAGCCCAAGGGGTCTGCTGTGAACATAGTGCCCCATCATCAGGACTGTATTTGGACCAGAACAGGTTGCGACAACATTTGTGATGATGGGGCATTATCTTCAGGGAAGACAGTCAGAAACCCTACGTGTGGATACCCCCTAGATAGCAAAAACACTTGCAGCCGGAACCTTTTGCTGCCATTTGTTTTTGGGATCCCCTGCAAAGCACCCTTTTGCACCCAAGAAGCTTCTAGGCGTTGCTACGCGTCACCTTTGAAGGCAAGGATGTACGCAGAGTTCAAAAGAAAGGAATGGCAGGATAAATAACATCTTCTCCTCACCTTCACCTTTGGTGACCATGACCATCGACGGCAAGGATATCAGGGCGACGATGCATTTTGCACTCGGGACATAGTCCACTAGCTCTATCTTAAATGTACCCGACTGCATTCATGGTCCAACCGTGGATGTACCTAGCCACAGTTGCGTCCATCAAAAAGCAAAAGAGACCTAGTGCGAGTATGACCTCAACAGCAATCATCATAGATGATCGGAAAGTACAGTAAGCAATCATTCACCAAGCCCATGTCACAAAGAGGTAGACCCAGGAACTTTTGATAACTTTATAAGCAGACCGGAGTCGAATGCCGATGTAATCAGATGAGCAAAATAACTCTGAATCACCTGGGGTAGCTCAGTTTGGCAATGACACGTCAGGACTGTCGCTCTAGGCTACCAGCTGGGCCGCCCGGATCACCTTGTTTGGCCCGGGCGGCCCGGCCGCGCAAGGGCCAAAGAAGGTCCCAGCAAAAGAAAAACAAAAACAAAAACTATAAAAAAAACTGGAAAAAAAAAACTATGTTATGCAGAAAAATAAACTGAACAACTTTTGCCGCAGAGTCAAATCGAAATTCCTTACCAAATTTTAAATAAAAATTAAAGTTGAAAATTATTTTTATTCTTTTTTTAAAAAAAAAATTGGCCCGGCCGGGCAAGTGGTCCCGGGCCACTCTGGTAGCCTAGCTGTCGCCCTTTTTTTTTTTTTGAGGAGGGAATGAATGAATTATTTTATTACTGATGATAGTTAAATGAACTACCATGCATGGGGCTGACAGCAAGAAAATGCAAAATAGTCAGAAAGCAATTAACAACTCAACATACCTGACAAAAGCCAGCTCAGCCTCGAACGGAGTGATCACAGGGGCATAATACTCCTTGCTATCCAAAAGCGCTGTTTGGGGACAAGCAACAAGAACAAACACCTCACACTTTTCCGACCACAATTGAACAACCATAGACCCACCCACTCCTCTCCACAACACAAGGCCCGCACACCCCCCCCTCTCAACCAAATCCGTGCATGCATTCCATTGCACACAGCCACAAGAGCCATCCACCCTCGGGCCAACCTCTCTCCGTGACCGTTCCCAACGATTTGTTCTTCAAACATTCCCATCAGGTCAGTTTCACATTACATCACTCCCTCTCCCAATTGCGCCCCTCCTTCCTTCCCTCCCTCCCTCCCTCCCTCCTTCCCTCGCTCCCTCGCTCCCTCGCTCCCTCCTACCCTCCCTCACCCCGGCATCTCACCCCTCCACTGCCATCCAGCACATTTTTCTCAGCATGCAAGATCATCTCCCCAAAGCACAGACAGACTCACCCAACCCCGCCCTCTCTTGACCCCTCTCAGGCAATCACAACCATAAACAAATAATAATCACAAACAAAAGAATGAGCAAAAGCCTGCCGTCAGAGAATCCACACACATAGTAAAGGCATGGGGTGAAACTCCGAGGAAACAGTTTGTCACAGCCCCTCGTTTGTTGTCCTCTTCTCCCTCTCTGCCTACGGTTTACCGGGCAGCTCTGTTTGACTATACATAGTCAAACAAAACTGCCCGGTAAACCCTAGGCAGAGAGGGAGAAGAGGACCACAAACGAGGTGCTGTGACCGACTGTTTCGTTGGAGTTTCACCAACTCATGGAGAGAGAGAGAGAGAGAGAGAGAGAGAGAGAGAGAGAGAGAGAGAGAGAGAGAGAAAGCAGAAATGGGAGACTTGTCTGTGAGTGTTTTCACATCTCTTTTTCTTTTTGCAATTAGCGAAAGGAATAGAGGCTGATAGATAGGACACATAGCCCGGTGCCTTGAGTCCCTGGGTTGTCACAGCCCCGGCCCTGGGGTTCCGGTGCGGTGGTCCCCTGACCCCGGCCCGGGAGGGGCCAAAAAAATAAAAAAATAAAAAAATTTAAAAAATAAAAGAAGTCCAAAAAATATATATAAAAAAAACAAAAAATACTGAGGGGTGCGCAGTGAGAGCCTGCCCCCCTTGGCCAAAAATAAAAAAAATGATTTTTACCCCTCCCCGGACCCCCCGCTAAAAAAAAAAAAATCCAAAAAAAGTTAAAAAAAAAACAAAAAACACTGGGGGGTGCGCAGCGAGAGCCTGCCCTCCTTAGCCAAAAATCAAAAAAATGATTTTTACCCCTCCCCGGAACCCCCACCAGGGTCACACCCACCACTGGTGGGGGGGCGGGGATGGCCGGGGGCGGGGGTGCAGGGG